ACAGAGGCATTAGCACCAGGGACAGAGGCATTAGCACCAGGGACAGAGACATTTGCACCAGGGACAGAGGCATATATAAAAATCTGCTAGTTCACTTTACAGACAATCAAATTCTGGAGAACTTTGAAACAATTTATAAGAAATATGTATATGTTGCATATATATTATTTATTAATTTATTTTTTTATTTAGTTACATAGTTATTTTGCCTTAAAACAAACACAAGCAATAAAAAATGCAGTCAATAAAATTAAAACCCAAACTATAAATTAAAAACATAAAACTCTAAATGAATAATTGTGTAAAAAATTAAAGAAATTCAGCAATTATATCATTATTTTTTTTTTATTACGCTCTCATAATGAACGCAGAAGAAAACCATCCAATAATAGAGGTATTGAATAATGCATAAAAATTATAGCAATTTGGAGTTTACTTGAAGTACAACATCATTTATTTTTTCAAAGCTCTACTGAGCTTTAAAACATATAATTGTTATATCAAAGGTGAAAGCTGAAGAGATGCAAGATTTTAACTGCATTTATTTATTTATTTATGTATTTGACTCATCAATTGTTCAAATGATCATACAACAATAAAATTACATATATAGTTACCTTCAAGCTACCTACCTACAAGCAAAAGTGTTTTTAGGCTAAAGTAAAAAAGTAGGTAAGAAATTTCACTTTAGGAAAGTTTTTGCTTTATTTAAACACATCAACCAATTTGTTGAGACTTTTCTCTAGAGTCTGGTAGGCAGGCAGCATGATATTATCGATTTATAGGACAAACTTAAAGTCACTGGTTTGTGATTCTGCTGTCAGAGAGGTGTCATAATTGTAAGGGTTGTGTAAAGATCCAGTCTCATCTAAATATGTGTAATTAGGAGGAAGATAAGAACCAGGGTCCGTCTGTAGGTTTTGGCATATTTTTTTAAAAATTTATTTAACACTTATTTGATATTTTTTTAAAGAAGCTTATGGTAGATAAATCTGCTTGGGTGTGATTTATTTATTTGCACATGTTTTAACAATTATGTTCTAGATACACTCCAGTTTACTGACTCATATGTGGGAAGGGGGAAAAGATGTCAAGAAGACTTGCAGTGATAAAAAAAAAAAAACTTGGCTACCTAATTATTACGGGGGTACAAAAAATGCAGTAGTAAATCAGCATTAATCTTCAAAATCTGTTATGACAGAACATGTCATACTTGTCTTATTGCATTTCTTTTCAATAGGCTAAGCATATTAAAGTAAACTGATTTAATGCAAAAACGGATCAGTGTCCATGATTAATATACAGAAATCCTGAAAGGCAAGAGATAAAAAAACATCTGGAAAAGAAAGGATAGATTTTTTTTTTCCAATTATTGTTTTCTGCCCTGAAAGACAAGTAAAAAAACAAAGTCATTTTTTTGTTTTGTTCTTACAATACTGTGTTATTACTACATAATAAGACAGTCATTGTCAGCTGTCAAATTCTTCAACTGAATAGTCAAACAGCCCTGGTTTTCAAGAGTCAATATCCCAAATGTAAAATAAGATTTTTTGCATACAAATAATGCACAAAAACTGTGCATTAATTGGCCATGGCATGTGGTTATCATGAAAACCTTGTAGTTTTATGAGCAATAGAGAATTATTTGCAGGGATGACCCACCATATTCGTAGGACAACATCTTTACCGTTCTTGCTTCATATCAAGACTGTATTTCCCAGATAACCTTAGATTTGCTGTCAGTCAATGCTTATCATAAGTTAACTTAAGTTAGACATGGGTGTAAGAAATTATTTTGCAACAATCTAAATATGAATCCTTCAATTATTATATGTATTTATATCTTAGAAATAAGAGCTAAATGGAACAAAGACGGGGAACTTAAAGAATTTTTAACCTCAAACAAAATCAAACAACAGAATGGGGGAAAAAACTCTGTTTAGTTTTCTAAGTTGTTTTTTTTTTCCCCACTAGCATAACACGAAAAATAAAAAAAATGGTTAGATTTCTAAGTATTTTTTCTCCACAAACACACAAAAAAAAATAAAATAAAAAAAGCAAACTTTTCTTTTCCAGATTTTTTTTTTCTCTTGCATTTCAGGGCTTCCAACACGTACAGTGTAAAAGTTTTGGACGGAAATGTAACTGAAATCTGGTTAAAAGAAATTAGAAGATGCTGAAACATAAAAAAAAGCGGTGATTAAACAAATTGAATTGAATAATTTCTCACAAACTACATACAAAGCAAAAAAAAAAAAAAAAAGAAGAAGAAAAGTTAATAGAAAATATAAACTTTTTAATGTTTTTCTTTAATTTTGTTCTAAGATTAAATTGATTCAAACCTCTAGTGCGGAGTCAAGATCCCCGAAGACATCAGGAAACTCTGCTGGTCTTTTCTCCAGCGTGTTATCAGCAGGCAGCGTGTTGTCATTGTAAGATGATACAAACTTAAAGTCACTGGTTCTTGATCCTGTTGTCAGGTATGTGTCATAATTGTAAGTGCTGTGTAAAGTTCCCGTGCCATCAACATCTGCGTAATTGGGAGGGAAATAGGCTCCAGGGATGGTAACAGCTCCATCAAACAACAATCTGGGCTTTCTTCGATGACAGAACTTCACACCCAGAATAATGATAATGAAGGTCAGAAAGAAGGTTGAAACAGAAACCAATGCGATGATCAGATAAGATGTCAGTTTAGAGTTCTTATCATCATAAGAAACATCTTTCAGTTCTGGCACCTCCGCCAAGTTGTCAGAAATAAGTAAATACATGGAACAGGTGGCAGACAGAGAGGGCTGTCCGTTATCTTTCACTGCAACAATCAGGTTCTGTTTCATGCTGTCAGATTCTAAAATGTCCCGCTGTGTTCTGATTTCTCCACTGTGCAGATCAATGCTGAAAAGTCCAGGATCAGTGGCTTTGACTATATGATAGGACAGCCAGGCATTCTGTCCAGAATCTGCATCCACTGCTATGACTTTAGAAACCAATGATCCTCCGTGTGCTTTTTTGGGGATCAGCTCTGTCATGAAAGAGCTGCTCTCTAGAGAAGGGTAAAGTATCTGAGGAGAGTTGTCATTTTCATCTGATATGAACACGCTGATGGTGACGTTGCTGCTGAGTGGAGGAGAACCATTGTCTCTGGCCATCACGTAGAATTTAAAACTTCTGAATTTTTCATAATCAAATGATTTCAAAGCACGGATCATCCCAGTATCGCCATTCACAGATAGATATGTTGATACAGAGGCACCGTTCACTTCACCGGGTAACAGAGAATAAATCACTGTACCGTTTTGTCTCCAGTCTGGGTCATGAGCAGTAACGGAGCATAAAGTGGAGCCAGATGCTACATTTTCATTCACATATGCGCTATAGGACTGTTCCTCGAACACAGGTGGGTTGTCGTTAATATCAGCTACAGATAACTGAACGGTTTTGGAAGAGGACAGAGGTGGAGAGCCCTCATCAGTGGCAGTGATTGTAATATTGTAATTAAACACTAACTCGCGGTCCAGTTGTCCAGTTGTCACCAGAGAATAATAATCTTTAATTGAAGGGGAAATTTTAAAAGGAATATTTTGCTGTATTGAGCAACGGACCTGTCCATTTTTCTCAGAGTCTCTGTCTTGCACATTAATGATACCTATTTCTGTGCCAGGGAGAACGTTCTCTGGTATAGGGTTATACAACGACGTCATGTCTATAACTGGGGCGTTATCATTAACGTCAATAATACTAATGATAACTTTAGCTTCTGAAGAAAGACCGTAGCCATCTTTGCCTTCAACAAATACCTCATATTTAGATTTTTCCTCGTAGTCTATGTTTCCTGTAACAGTTATCTCCCCTGTTTTAGAATCAAGAGAAAATAAAGTCTGCGAAATATCAGTTAGTCGGCTAAATTCATACGTAACCTCCCCATTAATTCCATCATCAGCGTCTGCTGCAATTACCGTAATAACTGGCGTTTTTAAAGGACAGTTTTCGGGCAACTTGGCTGTGTATACAGCCTCTGTAAACACGGGAGCATTATCATTAGCGTCAAGCACAATAACATGTATGACTACAGTTCCTGATTTCTGCGGAGATCCGCCATCTACAGCTTTTAGAATCAGTTTTATTTCGCCCTGCTCCTCTCGGTCTAATTCTTTATCCAAAACCAGCTCTCCATATTTTCTCCCAGGCCTTGTCTGAATATTTAGCACAAAATTTGAGTTTTGTTGCAGAATGTAGTTTTGGACTGCGTTCAGGCCTATGTCGGCATCATGTGCAGCATTAATGCGGTACTTAGCTCCTTTGCCAGTTGACTCCCTGATTTCCAGCTTGATTATATCTTTTGGAAAAATCGGTTCGTTATCATTTATATCCTGAACCTGAAGAAACATCCGGCGCAGTTCCAGAGGGTTTTCAAAAAGCAGGTCAAATTTCAAAGCGCAAGTTGTTTTTTCCCCGCAATGCTCCTCTCGGTCTATTCGTCCAGCAACAAATAAATCTCCGTTTCTAATGTTCATTCCAACATACTGTTTTTCGCTTCCTTCCATTTTAACACGAGCTTTGCGTGTACCTAGTCTCCCTACCTCCAATCCCAGATCTTTGGCGATATTTCCGATAACATATCCAGGTTTTAGCTCCTCGTTGATGGAATATGTCAGATCTCCATGCACGATTTGCAACAGAACAAAGAAAAAAATGCTGCAGTATGGTTGTTGAACGCGTCGAGCATTCATCGTATAAATCTTCTCCTCTAAAGCCAGACAATGTAGTTGTAAGAGTAATATGCGGTAATAACTTGTTTTTATCGCACTTGTCCGCGGCTTAGCTTGAAGAACAGAGGTTTATCTCAGCTTTGGGTGGTGTGCAAATGTATTATACCAGGCTTTAAATCCAAAGAAAGTATATAGTGACACCGTGAGTTAGAAGATGTTACAACATAATCAGAAATATGTTATATTACCCCAATCTGATATCACATATTTGCAAAATTATTTAATCAATCTTACCATATCCGTTACCATGCGTTACATTAACGCACAGTCTACTGTTTGTATATAGCTTCTGTGTGTATATATATATATA